ATCATGCGAAATGCTGGCCTGGATGTATCACAAGTGGGAATTAAGATTGCTGGGGAAAAGATCAACAACCTCAGATATGCAGACAATACCACTCTAATTGCAGAAAGTGAAGAGGACCTAAAGAGCCTCTTGCTCAGGGTAAAAGAGGAGAGCGCAAAAGTGGGCTTGAAGCTCAACATCACAGAAAATAAGATCATGGCATCCGGCCCCATCACTCCTTGGCAAATAGAAGGGGAAGTCGTGGAAGTAGTGACAGACTTCACGTTCCTGGGATCCCAGATCACCGCAGACTGTGACAGCAGCCATGAAATTAAAAGACACCTGCTCCTAGGGAGGAAAGCGATGGGGAACCTAAACAGCATGATAAAAAGTAGAGACATCACCCTGCCAACAAAAGTCCACATGGTCAAAGCAATGGTATTCCCAGTAGTAATGTATGGCTGCCAGAGTTGGACTATAAGGAAGGCCGAGCGCCGAAGAATAGATTCTTTTGAACTATGGTGCTGGAGAAGACTCTTGAGAGTCCCTTGGACTGCAAGAAGATCAAATCAGTCAATCCTAAAAGAAATCAACCCTGACTGTTCCCTGGAAGGCCAGATACTTTGGCCACCAAATGAGAAGGGAGCACTCACTGGAGAAGACCCTGATGCTGGGAAAGATTGAAGGTCAAAGAAGACGGGGACGGCAAAGGATGAGATGGTTAGACAGTGTCATAGATGCAATGAACATGAAATTGAGCAAACTTCAGAGGACGGCGGGAGACAGGAAGGCTTGGTGTCGCGGAGAGTCAGACTCGGCTGTGAGACTGAACAACAACAGAATAGCTCATTGTAAACATGTTCAGTAATTGAGGCCCTTGTTAGAAACATAATATAGACTGCTTGGTGTTTGGATCTTCTAATCAATGCATTATTAACCAGCTTTGCCAAAGGAAGGCAGCAGTCAGTTGCCAAGGCATGTATTTCTCCTGTGATAATGTTGGAGGGTGTGAAATATACAGGTTCATTCAAGATCCTGGTAACAACTGGTATTTTAACACCTGATGTTTGTGTCTCAGTATACGTATTTGGGACATGCACATTGCTTATGAGTTTGAAAGTGGAAGGAAAATTGCTGTTCACATTATAGCAACTAAATACATCTTTGTGATATCAAGTTATCAATTTATCCAGCTGCTGTTGATATGGCTGGAAGATGTGTTGAAAAGTCTGGTGTCCTTTTTTGATTCTGTTTGACTTTAACCAATATTTAACCACACAATATCCTGTGTGACAGCATGGAGTGGAGAGTTTTGGTAATTCCACTGGGAATTGCAGGCACCATCTATCTTTAAACACAAATAAAGACATCAAAGTTTGTGGAAAATGTCATGAACTTGGTTTCTGCATGGCTACAAAGATCAAAAAAGAAACAAGGTGGGATTCTGGAAGGTAATTGTTTAAACAACATCTTTTGTAATTAAAAGTCTTCTTTTTAAATAGTTGAATGATTTACAGTATTTTCTAACATGATGAATTACCTTCTTTGTATATGAAACTCATCTTTCCCCCCACTGCTGCAGAACAATGAAGAGTACATGAAGGCATGTCAAGATTTCTAATGCTTTTGCTGATATATATGCAGACCTAATTAAACAAGTAGTTTTCATATTATATTAAAAGGAAAGTCTGAGCTCCTACAAGACTGTATCAGGTTACATCCAAAAAACAAAATGAGTAATAATTGGAAGGAAAGCTTTTTTTGTCCTTTATCATGGCCAGCTTTGCATGGAACGCTCCCTTGATTTCTCAAATTTTCTTGAAGAGATATCGAGTCCTTCCGATTCCATTGTTTTCCTCTATTACTTTGCATTGTTCATTTAGGAAAGTTTCCTTATCTTTCCTTGCTGTTCTCTGGAAATCTGCATTCAGCTGGATAAATCTTTCCTTTTCACCTTTGCCTTTCACTTTCCTCCTTTCCTCTGCTATTTGTAAAACCTCATCAGACAGCCGCTTCGCTTTCTTGAATTTCTTTTTCTTTGGGATGGTGCTGATTGCTGCCTCCTGTACAATGTCACGAACCTGCGTCCATAGTTCTTCAGGCACTCTATCAAATCCCTTAAACCTGTTCTTCACCTCCACTGTATATTCATCAAACCTGAATGGCCTAGTCATTCCCCCAACTTTCTTCAATTTAAGCCTGAATTTTGCAATGAGTAGCTCATGATCTGAGCCATAGTCAGCTCCAGGTCTTGTTTTTATTGATTGTATAGAGCTTCTCCATCTTTGACTGCAAACTATATAATCAGTCTGATTTCGGTGTTGCCCATCCATGTGCAGAGTCACCTCTTAGGTTGCTGGAAGAGGGTGTTTGCTGTGACCAACATGTTCTCTTGTCAAAACTCCGTTAGCCTTTGCCTGGCTTCATTTTGTTCTCCAAGGCCAAATATGTCTGTTATTCGGTTACCTTTTGAATTCCTACTTTAGCATTCCAGTCCCCTATGATGATAAGGGCATCTTCTTTTGATGTTAGTTCTAGGAGATGTTGTAGGTCTTCATAGGTGTTGTAGGTCTTCATTGAACTCCCCTTTTAGCAGTCACAATAATCTAAAATGGATGCAGATTCTGTGGCCGATGTCCAGAGGGTTCCTTGGTAGATAAACGTACAGTATGTTCCTTCCTGTTTTTGAAAGCTGTTAAGTGGTTTCAAGAGGTAAAAATGGTCAAGATTTTCACTCCATTCCATCATCTTGATGATCAGCCATTTGTCAGAGATTTGTTTTAGCATAATGAGCTAAGTATACAACTCCTATTAATATTCAGTGAGATGTAGAAGTCTTTCTTATATTTTGTCCTTGATTCCCATTTCTTTTAATAAACACTTTTCACTTGATTGAATCACAGCAACAGCATAATGCCAGGAGAACCGTCATTTCATGTGATACTCTATTACTCTGAAAAGTGATGATTTAGCCTTTTCCTTCCACTTTGCATGATTTGCTGCTCAAGTGTGTTGGACTGAATATAACACTAACTCTTGGTGTGTTGCTTTTATTTCTAGAAACCTCAGATTTCACAGGGATGAACCTTGAGAAGGAGAAATATATTCTAAATGACAGGGGTAAATAACACTTGTAAAATATTGTTTGCTAATTCACTATTGGATAACAAGGACAAGAAAAATGTAATGTCACAATTATTTTAATAGATTTAATTTTTAAGTGCTTGCTGTTGATATGGACATTGATATTAAGATACAGATGGCTGCGGTCACACGTAACAGAAGCCACACAAGTGAGACGGAAAACAGCCGGAGTTTCCGGGTGCGATCTCACCAGCACATCTGGGAAACGTAGCACTCCCGTGGCTCAACCGAGGCTTCCAGCCGAAACTGCGTGGCAAAAAACTAGTACCTTGGAGGTACTAGTTTCCGGAAACTGCGGGGCAAGGGCGGGCGTCTGATCGCGTTTCCGGTGGCATCCGGCGCCCGCCCATGTGCCCTTGCAAATAAGGTGGGTTTTTTTGTCCAAGTCTCTGTGGATGCGCATGCGCACCCAACGGAGCATGCGCATTTGTCATGTACATAAAAAACAGTTTGCCGCGGCACGCGCTTCTTCGTTGTGCGCTGGCTTGTCCTGTGATCGGCACCTCTCCCTTGCCATGGAACCTCCACGGTACCTCCACAGGACCTCCACAGGAGGTCTGATCACGTAACTGCGCAGTAGTTTGCCCCAGGGCAAACAGCCACGCTTCTCCTCTGCAGTTTCCTGCCCGTGTGACCGGGGCCAGATGTTAACCTATGAAAATAACCTAGGAGGTTTTATTTCTCTCACTCTCCTTTGGGCTCTTGTGCCTTCTTTAAATCTAGAAGGCAGGGAGAGACCCAGTCAGGCATCTGTCACTAATGCACATCGCTAATGTAGTTACCATTCCTTGAATGCCGCATATATGTCTTCTCTCTTTTATTCTATGTGCCTTTTAGGTACGTAGAATGCATGAAGGGGGGAGGTGATCTGAGTCATGCCCTCTGGTCCTGCCACCAATATCTGAAGACATGCTTTTCTTAGAGCCTGTGCACATCCATCTGACACTGTAGTGGTTCCTATACACATGATCTATTAACCTGTGAAATGGAGGGCACTGGATATACTTGTTTATAAACCTTCACATGTTTGGTATAAAGGCTTTGAATTTATGGAAGAGTAGAGCAGGCCCAGTGGCGGCAATACCAGTTGTATGCTTCATGCATACAATTGTGCCGAGGTGAATTTATGGAAAGAGCTAATAGCTCTGAGGCTAGAAGGAAGAAAAAAGCCCTGTACTCTATCTCTTGTACCAGGACTATTTTATGAATGGTGTGCACAGGTTCATTTGGACTTTCTTCAGCCAACAGGAAGAACTTGTGCAGGGCCACATCATCACCCAAGTGACCCTTGAGGTGGCACAGTCAGGACACTTATGCTTAGCAGGCCAGCCAAAGAGAAGACAATGAGCTTAGTCTTTGCCCATTGTTGCATCCCAGATCTGCACCCTGTAGCACGTCTATGGTTCAGCTTGCTCCCAACCATTTGGCAGGATGGGAGGAGCTGACAGGTATGACCTAGCCTTGTCACTGTCTCCCAGACCTGTACCTCCAACTGTTGGGTCTGAGCCAAGCCCCTGTGGAATTACATCAATTTCTTCTTTCTTTGAGGGTTTGGCTTGCTTCTGGCCAGTGGGGGCATAGGTAGAGGTGGCAGAGGTCCCTTGCTTGTGGCCCTGGAGCTGGCTCTAGTTTCCTGATTATATAGAATCCCTGTGTAATCACATGGCAGTACTATAGGAGGCATTACTTAATTGGCTGACTGGAGATAATTTTACTTACCAGATATTTTCAAGGAAGTGACTGAAGACAAGCCAGATTTATTTTATAGCATTAAAGAAGTAAAAATCTAAATGAATTTTCCCTTTTCAAAAGTTGTTCTTCTTAATGAGTTTAAAAAGCGAGTAAGTTACATGGAATAAATGCACATTCTGTCTTATGACAGTAATAATTGTTATGCAAAACAATGGCTATTGAAAATAGTAATTATATTTTATAGTACATTAAGCACCGAATAAGCATAATTATTCTGATTACACTGGAATCAATGTAGTCGTGCACTGTAACAAATTATCACTGATAAGTCAATTTGAATCCACTACTCTGCTCTTTTAATAAGTAAGTGATTTTTGTTCCTCTCTAGGTCCTACATTCTTCCTTGCTTGTTTCAGTGTTGCAGCAGGATTAGCATTCATCATGTACTACTATAACCCAGGTAATAGAGCTGGGTGGGGGGTTGAGCATATTGGTTCAAAATCCTGTGTATTTTGGAAAGTTCAGGTACATGGATCAAAAAGGAACTTCTCAAAGAAGGGACACTGTGGGACCTTAAAACAATCATCCATTAAATAAGGTCACATTGCAATATGCCAAGCAAACTGGCCAGGGGATGTTGGTTGTCAGAGCCAGGCTGCGGTCACAAGTATCCACACTAGGTTCTAATGTAGGGTCCTTGAACTCTCTGGCAGAGACTTCCTCTACCTGTGTCTCAGATTGTGTAAAAGGGCATGGGAGCAAACATCCCACCCTCTGGTGCCATATTGATTGCCTGGCATGCTTTACTGTCTTCGAGGAGGAATTTAATTACAGTAGCTATTCTGCAAGTAAGCTAAGTGGTTTACCACTGCTGTGCTAATTTTCTACATGTGAATTTCCAAAACTAAAATAAGTTATGCATTTTGCCAGGACTGACAGGCTCCTCATGACCATCTAAAGGCTGGAAGTGTAAACTGAGCAAGGAAAAGCTGTCTGTGCCACCAACGTTACTAAAGTGAAACCCATTAGAAAACCTTCAGAAGTCGCAGTGTTTCCAGTAATTTGTCTTGTGATGGCTCTAGCTTAATCAATTTAATAAGATATTTGAGAGCTAGAAAAAATTAATATGCTATATTTAAGGATTTCCACCAGTTTCTCTGTTTCACGTGATAGTGTGTCAAACAAAGGTCAGAGTTCTGAGTAGTATATGAGAGACAAGCTGGAGTGATCCTGACTGAAACAGCTAGTGTCATGCTGAAGGAAAGATGTATATAATTTGTTCTCTCCCTTGGTTTATCTAATATCTGTTTATCTATAGGAACTTTCAGGGTGTTGTTCTATATAATTTCTTCCCTCGCACTCCAACATATTTCATGATATATATTGATGGTTTAGTATGGGGTGTTTCCAGTTTGTTGCCATAAGCTACATTTGTTTAGGCCGCGTTCAGACCTGCAGTTCGATCCACTGTTGTGCCACCTCTAATTGATCCAGGTTACTTTGTAACTGAGAATCATGATCAGACTCACCCCTTTTAGCAGTCTTCAAAGTGCTTTTACCCCACCCTTGAGCAATCAGACCAGCAGCCAGCGAGTGAGGCTGTCAGCAATTTTTTGTTTGTCCTTTGAACATTCCACAAGGGCTGATAAGCCTGCTGGGTTATGGAGTTCATGGGGCCATCAGCCATTTTTTTTTAAAAAAATTGTCCTCTGAGCATGTGCACAAGCGCTGATGAGCATGCTGGGATATGTAGTTCACTGCTGTCCTCCTCTCTAAACTTTTCAATTAACCCCTTCCCCAAAGCACAGGAAAAAGCTGAAGTACAATGGTGTCTTCCTTTGACAATTTTTATAAAGAAACGAGGTTTTGAGCAGCCCCTGTGGGAGAGAGAGAGAGAGAGAAAGCGAGGTGCAAATATGCAGTTATTTGCACATCGCTAACTAGTAAAAAAATGGTGGCTGGAAAACAAGAGACCAGTCAGACCTGCCTTATGGCTTGTGTGTGCAACAGAGTGATCAGACTACAGGAAATCCATTTTGGAACCAGCTCAGCCCCAAAGGACCAGACTTTCACAGGTTATCAAAGAAACATGCAGTAAATGGGGGGGGGGACAGGACTCAGACGACTGGGGCACAACAGACAGATGTTGCTCTCTGATCATGCATTTTAAATTCATAAAGGAACAGCAACAGATCAAACTGCACATCTGATCACAGCCTTAGAGAGAAGCTTAAAGCATCTTATTTGTCTTCATTAAAATACAGCTTAACTGAGATCCTAGTGTATCCTCAGTTTGTATTTTCTTTTACTGAGGCATTGTGAGTCAACACTTATTGCCATTCTTTTGTTGCACGTTGTTAGATACTATGCATCATTGTAATTAGAAGTATTACTTTCTGTGTCCCAAGACCTAGTGATAATTTTGGTATATTCATCTTTGTGCTTGGTAATATTAGAAATGACTACCAAACAAAAGAGAACAAAGCAGGAGAGAGGACCAAGAAAACCTTGTATTGCCAGTATAAAAATAAACACACAAGAGTTTAGATAAATATAGCACATGAAGATAATTGCCAAATAATGAGACAGTACCTTCAGTTTTCTCAACCTTTGCTTTCCGAGTCAGAACTTCGAGTGATGCAACATATTGGACAGTTAACAACTACTTGCGTAAAGACACAAACAGTGCAATCTGTGCAGTCTGAGACCATTGGTTTCAATAGAATTAGACTGAAGTAATTGATAGGATTACCTTGAAATTCACTTGGTGACCATTGGAATCGTTTTCCCCTGCTGCATATTCAGAGTATGAATTTCAGTGGAAATTCAGCTGCTTCCCATAGCCAGTTACATTTCATGATGGACTATCCTTATGACAGAAAGTTTCTAGTGTGAAACCGATGAAGAGATGAAATGAGCATTTTGCTGGAGTCTTGTCTTGTGATTCTCTGCATATGTTATATTCATCTCATCAACTGTGTATTTGTTTTTGTTTTGCAATACAAGTGTCATTTCTCTTTGGTACTCCATTTTGTTCAGTTAGCATTGAGGACCTGCTCCCCTCTTTTCTTTTAATACTGGAAATGAAGCATGCATATATTCATTCCCGAGAAGGCAAAATTAGTGAGAAAGCCTAACCAAGTCAAAATATACCATGTGAAGATTGCTTTACTATACTGTTCCCTCCCTCTTTTACTATCAGAGCTCTAGAGATTAGTTATTGTCACTATCTAATTGTAGCCTTAAGGAAAATAAGCAATTGTAATATAATTCCTGGTTTTAAAAAAGACCTATTAATCTTAAACCTGCTGTACAAATCACAGCTCCTTCTATTGCTTAAGTTACAACATATTGAACAAAACAATTCTCCTTTGGCAATACTTCAGGATGTTATTTTTGTGAATTATAATTTACTGAAACAAAATGCCATTGTTGTTATTGTCTCAGTTTAGCTTCTCATTTTTATATCTTTCTTCAATTTTGTTTTATTCTAGAGTCAAAAATTCTAGGAGGAGCCAGGAGAGTGTTGGGTTTTTCACCAATCATCATAAGAAGACATGTTGCAAATATTTGTATGTTATACATGGAAGACTCAGCAAGGGAGCAATAAGGATAAACTAATTCTACAGCCCAAAGTCATCTACTCCTGCCAATGGAAAAGCTGCATCGCAAAAAGATATGCTGTGTTCTCATACCAAAGATATAACTAAGTGGCTTTAGCAGTGTGTATATACTGCTGCAAAGTGCTTTCAGAAGCTATATATGCTTTTTTACTTTGGAGAGTGGATCATTTATTTTTATATGTGCTTATTTTAAGCTATTTATCACTTGGATAAAATTGATTTTAATACAAGTCTTTTGATACGTACTCTGTTGTTGCAAAAGTCTTAAAAGTCATGTCAGGTATATTTGTATTTGGTTTTGAACAGATAGGCAGAGTGGTTCCCAAGATGGGCAGAGCACCGTCCAGACTTTGGCTAAAGATTTGGACCCTTTTGATGAGAAGACTTTGGAAGCTTATCCAAGTGATTGAGCTCCATGTGCATCTCCTTCTAAGTATCTCTGCTTGGTGGAAAACAGAAAGAGGGAATCCACTTTATATTAGTGATGGATGGAAGGAGTTGCAGAAGATTTCAGCCTTGGTGCTTAAGTTGCTGTACTTCCAACAGAATCTGCCATGGCCATTGGCATAGAGGTAGATCTTCTGCACAAATAGTAAATGCTCTTGGCTTTATACAAGAGACCTTTTAAAATTGCTAACTTAAGAATGACATTTTAAACAAAAACAAAGCCTTGTTAAGACATTTTACCTTTAATGTCAGGACTGTTTGTTCTTTCTCCTCTTTGTACAGTACAAGGGGTTACAGTGACATATAGTAACCCCGAGGGGCAAAAAAAAATCTGTCTTGCTTTTCTCAGCAACCCAACTATGCAAGATTTCTTTTCATTCCTTATACAGGATTCTTAAGGAAATTTAGCAAAGTGCAAAGGCATGGAATGTATGAGTTAAATTGGGGGGGAAAGAGGGCATTTTAAAGGCATTTGGATTTTTAAATATCTCATCATATAGTAGATGAGTTTGTGCCTTTGGCATGCATGCCTACTATACAGGCCATATACTTGCTTATAGAAGGATTTGTTCTTAGCAGAACAGTGACCAGGCCAGTGGCAGAAGTCTCCTGAAGCACAATCATGGTTTGAAACTCAGGGTTCATGTGCATGTCTGTGTGTGTTAGATGTCTGCTTGTACGCCCAAATGACAGGCTTCAAAGTTCTCTTTCCTTGGTTGGGTTTCTAAGGATTTTGTTGCTAATCAGGATTATGCTTTGGACATAATCTTTTCATGCTCTTTATACACAGTGATTTAGAATGTTACACTAGGTGCAAAACATTGTACCTAGTTTTGTTTTATGGCAGATAAACTAAAATTGGATGCACTGAATAGACTATAAAGAAAATTGTAAGAGGTCTTTCTTTTCTGTGGCAGTATCAGTGATGATTGATTTAATTTGAGATATCTGCACTGCTGTGTAATTTGAGCAGGCATTTGACTTTTGGTATACCGATAGCCTGTTTTTCAAGGACCTTGCTGAGAGAGAAAACTTGAAAGTGTCACCTAAAGGGACTGATGGAAAAGACCCCAGTCAGCAGTAATTTCATCAACCTGTCTTTTGTAGAATCACCACTAGATGGAGGGAGAGCACTGCAAGCTTTGTGCATATTGCTTGCATTAAACTGCACTAATTTTTTTCTACATAAAAGTCACACAGAGGACTAGTAAAAGAAGTTTAGGTTTATGAGCCCAGTTTTATTCCTGACTTGCCTAGTGAATCATGATTGTATGTATACTCGGTGTTCCTTAGTAGATATACCCCGTTTGTCTAACTTAACACACTAGAACAAATTTAGAGTCCACTGGCACCTTTAGGACCAACAAAGTTTTATTCAAGGTATGAGCTTTCGTGTGCATGCACACTTTATCAAATACACTGGAATGGTAGGTAAGGTTCAAACTTATAGACAGGGGCTGAACAGCAAATTAACATGTAGTCTAAATTTGTTCTACTGCTTCAGACCAACACGGTTCACCACCTGGATCTATTAACACACCAGAATCTGCTTCAGTGTGTCAAACATTGAAATGGGACTTCAGATATTGGCACAAAATACATATGAATGTAATTGTAGCAAATACCACCTGGAGTGAAACATCCTATTCATTAACACTTCAGATGCAGACGGCCCATTTTGCATCTAGTATTTGCTCCAAACCCACACTGGAACAGAAAAAGATGCGTCTCAAAACCACATTCAGATACCCTGGGCCAAAGCTGTACTGACTTCAGTCACCCCTGAATGGCCATAAAACATGAATCTCTGCTGACAGTACCATAAAACTGAGAGATCAAAGGAAGTGAAACCGGCATGCGGTGTGGAGACTGCCATAAAATCTGACAATAAAAGAAAGTGAAAGTGGCATGCAATGTAGAGGGGAATTTCTGTTCCAATGTGGGTTTGGTAAAACAGTGGAGTGAATGCTAGATGCAGAATGGGCTGTTGTCTATGAATGAACCTAAATGAAAATGGACATTAGGAGTGTCTCCCAGGCAGAGATATACCCTTCTTAGCCCATCGACTTTCATGGGCTTAGAGGGGTGTAATTTTGCTTTGGGTGACACTGTAATTTTCCTAATACTTCATGAAGATAAACTTGTTCCTCCAATGAACACTGAAACATTGTTCCTCCACTTGCTGTCTTGAACTTCCATTTGAATAAATGGGTAATTTCTAAAATAGTATATTTCATGTCAATGGGCAGGGTGGGGCACAGAGAGGTAATTGCTCTGTTGCTGCCTGGTCAGAGCCCATTAATATGAAAGGCACCCATCAACTCTAGTGTAGAAGCAACTTATATTTAATGTGTTGAATAAAATACGTTCTCTGGCTGCTTTTTCTTTTTATAATCTTTGAGTCTCAGCGAGAAGGGTGGGCTGTAAATGAAGTAAATGAATAAAGTAGGAGTTCAGTTTTTAATAGAGAGGTATAATGAAGGTTTCAACAAGGCAGTATGACCTAAGAATTCTTAGAAACCTTGGACAGCTCCAAGTTGTTTTTTCAAAATCAGAGCTGAGGACAAATAAATCAGGTTAAAAAAAATTAAGCTACTTTAGTCAGGTTGGAAACAAGTTTAAGTCTTCACATTGGATGTGTAATTGATATATTAATCTGCTCCAAAAAATTGCTTATGTTGTCCTGTTAAAAGTACCAAAGCTATTAAGATTTTTCTTCTGAGTAGGACTCAGAAGAAAGAAATAGTAGGTAGATATATTTAAGGTTTTCTCAGTACTTCTAATTGCAGTGTGGGTGAGCAGTGGAGGGTATAAGCTCTCCCCCCCTTTGAGACATTTGAAAGTTACATTATATATAAAAAACCCACGTATGTACTTGCTGAATGGCATGGTCTGTATCTGGCATTGTTCCTACTTCGAAGCTCATGGAGCATCTGCTGATTTTGTTTTAGATTAATCCATGTGATCTATTGTGACCATCAGTACTATTATATCTGAATGTTTCCTCATGTGAACATGAAATGTACCTGAGAAAGTGCAGAGAGAGAGATGGGAATTCTTTGGCCGCAGAAGGACTTGCCTGTAAAAAGAAATTGGGAGGGAGGAGTGTACTGTATGTATGAACAAACATAAATATATGCCAGTAGACACTGCAGAATTTACATTGCAAAAATACCTAGACTTTTAATGACACAGTGCTTAAAAAGAAACTGAAAAGATCTGAGAAAGTTTCTTGATTCTTTACTATTCATAAAGAAATTCTCAGGAATTATGAGGAGAGACCAGTATAGTCCTACTTCAGACCAAAAAGAATTAGCTTTGTATATAATATTTATAAATATCTCTCATTTTTGAAATATCTCTCATTTTTGAATGGTGGTTCTCTCACAAATATGCAGAGGTCATTTCGGAGGGGAACGCGGGGGAACATAGTCCCCCCCGGGTGAGGTACGGGGGGGCACATGATGAAGCCCCGCCCCCTGCTTCCGGCCGCCCCGCTTCCGGCCCTCATTCGGCCAGGAGGAGGCAGGAGAAGAGGGAGGATAAGTTGCTTCCTCCCTGCCTCTCCCCACCCCTGCCTGCCTGGGGCCAGGGAGGGCCTTCGCAGGGCTTCCTTGCA